ATCGTTGTCCTGCCGCAATATCACTGCCATTGACCGCCATCCAGCCGGAGTCCCGCCATCGAGACAGCTGTCGCTGTGGGAAAATAAAAAAGAAAAAAAAATCATTTTTTTAATTAAAAACTATCCAACACTTCAAAGATTCACCAAAAATCCATTTCTAGACTAACTTTAATGATTTTGAGCTTTATGGAATTGGAACGATGAGCCCTACACTACAAAAATAAAATAAAAGTGATTTGATAGATATCTGGAGAGTAATTTGCATTTAAATCTATAAGATATTTTACAAATTACTCCCCAATCGAGCATCATCTTGAGCTCAAAACAACGAGCCCTAAACTTATAATCTAATAAAGCATATTAACAAGACAAATCTAATTTCACTCCTCAAATTCCTAATGATTTCTCCTAATGCGCTATGCTAGGGTTTCTCCCCCCGCGGAGATTTGGGTTTTCCGCTTCTGGTCACGCCTTCCGCCACCTCCTTTTCGATCAGGGAAGTGATATTCTGCCTTCCTTGTTCATTTTCTGTGTTTTTAGTGACTGTTGCTTCTGATGGCTGGTTTGAAGTTGCTCGATGCCAATTTTCTTGCGGCCAATTCTTCTTCTAAGTCTTTTAGAGATGTTCTCTCGGGTAACATTTCTTCCTTCCATGATTTGAAGATTTCTTCTCATCGTGAGACACCTTCTTTGTGGATTTCTAAGGCTGAGGTGTTATCTCTAGCCACTCCGTTTGAGTTCACGTTGATGGGAAGTTTCCATCCCACCAGCTATCCCTTAATGCAATTAGGAGATTTTTTTTTTTCAATCTTAAACTCAATGGTGAATTTTCTTTTATTGTGCTCAATGCAAAGAATATTTTTATTAAACTAGCAAACGATTTGGATTACTGTCATGTTTTGAAGTATTGTTCATATTTTATGAACAATTATTATATGCGATTGATCAAGTGGTCGCCTTTTTTTTGATGTAGATGTTGAATCCCCTATTGTCTTTGTTTGGGTGTCTTTTCCTAATTTGCATCCCCATCTATTCTCTCCTAGATCCTCCAGGGTCTCAATTCGAATTGATCGTGTTATGGTTGAATTGGATGTTTCAAAATAATTTCAGGAGAATGTTTGGGTTGGCCCGAATAATCTGGGGTATGTTCAATCAGTTGTTATGGAAGATGTGTCATCTTACTGCTTGCATTGCAAAGCTTTGGGTCATTCCATTACGGGGTGTTTGGTTTTGCATCAGCAATTGGCCAGGGAGCATCGTGTTTCTGAACGGATTATATATGTGGATTCGGGTATTGTGGATTCTATTTCGAACATGGGTTTAGTTCAGTCAGTTTCTAATCATATTATGTCTCCTATCTTTCTAGGGGTGGGTTGTATTAACGGTTCTATGACTGTTGTTGCCAATGTCAATGCTTTAGCTATATTGTCTGTCTTTGTGGATATTACTGTTGTTGTTGGTTTACCCCCTATGTGTATTGTGCATGTTGAATCTATTGAGGGTAGTGCTTTGGGTATGGAGGGAGACGGTCCTAATGAGGTTCATATTCCTATATTTTTTCCATCTCCCCCACTAATGTTGATCCATCTCTTGCTGTGGATAATGCTTCGAATGCCGCTAAGGGAGTTAATTTACGTCCTTAGGACATTTTAGGTTCACCTACGGCTTTTTCCCAAGTGGACTCTATTGTGTTTGGGGATGTTCGTGTTGCCCATGCCCCACGTTTATGTCATAGTGATGCTGGTGTTATGAATTGTGGTGTGAATTTGTCACCTATTTTGTCTTGTGCGGCGTCTGTCCTGTGCGGTTTGGCCTCGGCTAATCTGCCTGGTGTGGTCGTGGTCGCTGAACAGTCTGCCTCTTCCATCTCCCCTATTCAAGTTTTATCAGTTGGTGGGTGTTCCGTGAATCCTGATGTTATTTCCTCCTCTGTTGGCTTGGAGGGCAATGTCAATTTTGTTAATATCCCTATTGCGGTTATGTCTAATATGGAAATGAAAGAGCAAGTGGCTAAGTCTGTGAAAAGCTCTGTTTTGATTCAGAATGGCTGGTTGGTTTTAGAGGATTATTCTTCTCATTGTAGTGGAGAAGAATATTAGTATTAGGAATTTGAGAAGGACCATTCTGTTATTCTGCGGGGTGCCCTTAATGTGAATAGCAATAAGCAAAAAAGAAAAGGCAGGAAGAATAGGTGTCCTGTTTTGTCCATACGATTAAGTTGGTGCATTTTATTGTTTTGTTGGACGATGATAAGGAGGCCCCTATTGCCCCTTGTTAGCTGAGCTGGCTGGCAACCTAGGTGTCTTAGCTTTGGTTTTGCGATTGTTTTCTGTCACCTACGGATAGTTCATGTTTGGCTGCTAGGATGGTGCTGAGGGCCTTCATTCCTAAGTCCCCTTTCGTTGCTTTTCCTTATATGTCTGATTTTTTTGGGATTTAATTGTTATGTATTTTGGGTTGTTGGTCATTTGTTGTTGTACCTCTCTTTTTATTATCAATGAATGGATCTTAAAAAAAAATAATAATAATAAGACAAATCTAAGGAGCGCAAAATAATATAAGGAGTATTATGTAATTTAGCTATATGTATAGGGCATGCAACTCTTAAAAATATATAAATAAGCCCTCTCTATATATATGGAGGGTTAGAACCTTAGCTAAAGATTCAATAGAGCTTACAAGTTTGATGAATCTCAAAACTTCACCGAAGCATCATCGCCAAACCACCACCCAACTAGCATTATTGGACCACCGCCACACAACAATCATTGGACCATCGCCCAAAAACTATTGTAGGACAACCTTCATATGATTAGCATTATTTAACCATCATGTTTTGAACACCTCATCAAAGAGCCATCGTTATACCAATGTCTGATCGTCACCATCAGAACATCGCATGATCTTCGCTATTGATCACTATTGCCTGACTACGATTTTATAATCACCATAGCTCGTTTATAAATCCCAACCACTATTGCTTGAGTACAATTCCTCAACCACTATTGTTGATTACAATCCTTCAACCATGATTGTCCAAGTAAAGTCTCTTAATCACTATCACCCTACTATAGTCCTCCAACTACCTTAGCCTGACTACATTCCTTTGGCCATTGTGGTCTAATTACGATCCTCCAATCACAATTGCTGAATATAGTCATCCACTAATAATCTCCCTATTACAATTCTCCAACCATTGTAGACTAACTACGACCTTTCAACCATCATCATTTGACTACAATCTTCAAATGATCATCGTCATATCATAATATTCCCACTACCATTGCCTGAACATTATTCCCTAACAACAATCAACCGATTATTATTCTTTGACCACAATAATCTAACTACATTACTTCAATCATCATCATCCGACTAAGATCCTTAAATCTTCTATGCCTAACTATAATCATTTGACTACAATTACTCGACTACGGTCCTCTGCTCACTTTTGTCCTACTTCAATCCTTTAACCATCATCACCCAACTATGATTCTCAAATTATATTAAACAAGTTTTTACGTTTTGTTGGAACCAACTTTGTATTTATTATAAATTTGCTTTATATTGAATGTGTTAGACAAATATTAATATACTACACTTCTTATTCTATACTTAGATCTCCTTTACCCCCATTTTAGCTGCTTTTTTTTTTGACGTTTAGCTCAATTAAGATAAATTTAGGCACACTTCATATATGTAAGATTCGAACCAAAAACTCTTTGATTATTAGCTAAAATTTTTAACGAATAGACCAAATTAAATTGAGTCCTTAGCTGCTGTTAATGAGAAGTCATCATTTAGACGAGAACAGGAGAGAGAGCCATTCAATGACGGAATGATTATTTAGCCCACTTATCTCCCAAGAAATTAACACTTCTTGAATGCGAATGCCACTAAGTACTAATTAGGTAGGCCTGCTATGCACATAGCAACTTGAAATGCATTGAATTTAATTTCTTATAATATCTGTCCGTTAATTATTTGTTTCATGACCATCTATAATTAGGCCACCTGTGCTTAATTATTTGTGTAATGACCATTAGTTATGTTGCGTTTTCAGTATAAATTTATTATTATTATTTTTCAAAAAAAGTTTATGATGAGCAAAATTTTATTTATAAATTTATTCCTTATTTAAAGAAATGAATTATTGAATATATGAAGTTTTGTGTGTAGGATCAAATGTTTGAAATTTGACGAAAGCAAAAATTTATATGAGTGGAAATTTTTTGTTAATTTCAATATTTTAATGAGAATTTGATGAATAGAAATAAGAGAATATTTTTTATAAATAGATAAAATTTGAATGTTACATAAA